GGGTGGGGGTGGGTCCCCCGTCAGTCTGAGGGACTCTGAAAGGGGCCCCTGGTGACCCTGGAAGGAACCTTTATGAAGGTCTAACTCCAGGCCCTGGTCTTTGGTGAAATAGACTCTGAAGCTAGGAAGCTGAAATCAACGGAACTAAAACAGTTTTATGTAAGGACTGAATGTGGAGCTCTGAGCTCTGAACACGTATAAACTAACTCAGATAAAGAATCCAGTGTCTCAGTCGCACAGGCCACCTGTGGCTGGTGGCGGCCGTGTGGGACAGTTGTCTGGAACGTTCCTGTCACTCCAGAGTGCTCCTGCTTGGTGCTGTCATTAGAAACAACGAACCAAGTGAAGTCAGATAAGCACCTCCTGCTGAACAGGATGGAACAATGACTGCTGAGGTCTTCACGAAGGGGCCTCTGCGCAGGTCAGGAGAGTCCTTGGAGGATTAGGTCAGCGCCAAGAACTCAGAAAACAAAGGAAAGGGGAGCGCCCGCAGGCGTCCTGAAGGTGCAGGACCCCCGAGGAGCAGAGAAACCCGACTGAAACACACAGAGGTGCTCGCGCACATAAATGGCCAAAGGTGATGGGCCCGGATGCTCCCGCTGAACAGCGATGGAGGACGGGCCACCCTCAGGGCCGACACCAGCGACTCAGCAGGTCCTGGGGCTGGGCCAGGTGAGCGGGGTGAGCAGCACGCCTGAGTCGCTGCTTCCGCTCCTCAGCGACCACAGCTCTGGGAGAGGCCAGCACCTGGGTGTCCACTGGAGACCCTGCCAGCACCGGTGGCAGGGTCCCGTCTGTCCTGCTACAGGGACGCCAGGCAGGGGGCTGCGGGGCAGACGCCGGCTGCTTCCTTGCCGTGGCCTCCCGTGGGGGGAGCGGGGTCAGGGGCGCTAACCCCAACTGCGAGGCCCCACCCTCATGGCCTGTTGCCTCCCAGGGGCCCTCCTGACTGCAGCACCCTGGGCTTGAGATCTCAGCATGGAGTTAGGAGGACACGTTCAGTCTGTAACGCTCAGCGCTGTGGTTTCTGGCAAACTGGTCCAGCACAGAACAGGGGTGGGAGGAAGGCAGCACGACTGTGTCTCCTGGGGCACCCCTTCCCGTTCTGCGCCCCCACAACGTGGGGGAGACACTACAGACGCAGTGGGTGTCGTGAAGACAGTGGAGAACCACGCAGACCGGGGGCCTCTGGTGAGGGTGTGGAGGAGACGCTGGAGGGAGCCATGCTGAGCTGAGAGCACAGACCCGTCTGCCCACTTGGTTCCTTCTCCGCCTAAGGTCCTCAGGCCCCAGCTGCGTGACCTGGAAAAAGGTGCAGGCTCGCAGCCAGGCGCCCCTCGAGTCCCCGGGGAGGAGGCTGTTTACACCGCCCGTACGGACAGAGCCTGGTATGGACGGTGTGGTTAGAGGAGCAGGTGTAGGAGAGACGGGGTCTGGAAGATGAGCCGTGGGAATCAGGACAGGCAGTTCTGAAACACGAGGTGTATGGGAAGCTCGCTTCAGTTACATTCAGGGACCGTTTGGACACCAAGGGAGCTCAGGCAGAGCTAACCAGGTGGAATGGAGCCCTGTCCGGGGTGTGGGAGCCCCTGGACTGAAAGGATCAAATGCCTCTTTGGGGAAAATGCATCCCGTATGAGGTGTCCCATGTCACTGGAATAGCTGTTCTAGGGCTCAACAGCATTGACCCTTGATGAACGTGCTGTGATAACTGCTCTCTCTGGCCCCAGCCTCAGAGGGAAGGGAACTGGTGTGGGAGGCCGAGGGTGCTGAATTAGGTGGGAGCTGGATCCCAGCCCCTGGCGGTCCACACAGAAACAAACTGGGGCCAGGGGCGAGCTAGGTACAGCCAGCCGGGTGCAGCCCTGTGTTACGGGGCGGACGAGGCTGAGGGCCCAGGGCAGTCCTCCACACACAACAGGAGCACCAGCCGGGTGTGGGGTGAAGGGGAAAAGCAAAGCCAGCCCCAGGGCCCTGCAGCTGCCGGGGTTGGGGTGGGGCGAGGCCCAGAGTGGGGGACCTGCAGTCACCGCTGTTGATCATCCAGGCCAGCGAGGCCACAGGCCACTGTGCATGGGTCTCGGTGTCACAGGACAGGCGTGCGGTGAGTTCACGTGGTGCGGACACAAGCGGCAGCTGGATGGGTCCCCGAGCACTGGGACAGGAGGGCACCGGCAGGTCAACGGTCACACTGCTGACCACGCACTGTAACACCGGTTGTTAAAGGTACGAACCTCACACTCCCTAGGGTGGCTGAGATTTAAAAAAGTAACAGAAGTGTGCTTGAGGATGTGGGGAAATTGGAACCCTTGTTCAGTGTTGGTGGCAATATAAAATGGGGCAGCGGCTGGAAGATAGTATGGAGGTTCCTCAAAAAATTAAAAATGGAATTACCATATGGTCAATTAATTCCACTTACACACCCCAAAGAACTGAAAACAGGGTCTTGAAAGATACTCGCACACCCATGTTCGCAGCATTATTCACAATAGCTGAAATGTGGAAGCAGCCCAGTGTTCACCAAGTCAATGGACAAGCAAAATGTGGTCCATCCATGCAGTGGGCTATCGTTCAGTCTTTAAAAAGAAAGAAAACCCGCAGTATTCTGTGTATATTATTCACAGCTTGGAGGACATTATTCTAGGTGAAATAAACCAGATACAAAAAGACATATACTGCCTGATCCCACTTTTGAGGTCCCCAGTAGCTCAGATGGTAAAGAATCCGTCTGCAACGCGGGAGACGTGGGTTAGATCCCTGGCTTGGGAAGAGGGCATGGCAACCCACTCCAGTATCCTCACCTGGAGAATCCCATGGACAGAGGAGCCTGGTGGGCTGCAGTTCATGAGGTCTCAGAGTCGGACACGGCTGAGCGACAGGGTACACACAAGAGCATCCCGCCAGGGGCGGGGGAGGGGCTGCAGAGTGAGTGTCCAGTGGTGCAGTTTGGGAAGAGCGAGTTCCGGAGCTGATGGGGGTGACCACTGCACAACGTGAACGCCCCTGACGCCGGAGCTACACGCTTGAAATGGGTTAGACGGAAGACTTAACGCTCCATGTATTACACCCGAGTGAAAGCGAAGGGGTGAGCCTGCTGGCTGAGGGGTCCCTGAGGATAGGCCGGGAGGCCGGCTGGGTCGATGCCCACAGAGGGACAGGAAAGGGGTGCTCAAGGCCAGGGCTCCATCCCCACTGGGAGGTGCTCTGTACACGTGCTGAGTCAAACCCAGGATGGCCGTCATAAGACCCACCTCCCCCCCCCAACACTAACCCTAACCCTAACCCTAACCCTAACCCCCACCCCCCACCCCCAACCCCCCACCCCCGCCCTGGAGAGCTACAGATGAGGCGGGTCACGGGCAGGGCGGGGAGACAGGATCTGAGCATTCCCACACGTCAGGAATGGCTTAAGTTACAGGTAAAGCCCCAAGTTGAGGCGCTGGAGTGAGACAGGCTCGCCCCTCCCCAGACTGGAAGACCTTGGCGAGGCCTGGGAAGGGGTGGGCAGGGTCATCAGGCCCCGAGGAGAAGGCCCTGGACATGGCCCCCAGACCGCAAGGCAACATGGGCCGTAAGACAGACAGGTTCTCCTTGGTGCACCCCAATACCTTGGTCCCCAAAGACTCGGAGGCTTACATGGATCTCTTCAAACCCCCAAACAGCCCTTTCCCAGAGCAGAGGGTCCCAGTGACATCACCCCCTGCCCCCGGGGGCTTCGGGGATTTGCTGGGAAGCGGCCCAAGGCTGTCTCGGACCCCCCACCCTTGGCTCTTACCTTTGGGAGTGTGTAGGGTGTGCCGGCGTTTACAAACGCCAAGAATCCCACCGCAGGTTCTGCCCTCGGTGGACTGGAAGGGGGCAGCGGAGGCCACCGTGTCGTCGAGGATTCGGAACCTTCCATACACAGCCCCCAGTCCTGCCGAACGATGGGTGCAACTCTGTTCTGCCGGGTCCCTGCGGCTGGGGGCCCAACCGGGGCCTCTTAGAAGACTTTTCCAGAAAAGGGCTGGGGGAGGGGCTGAGTGCTGGGCCGCCTGGAGCCTCCGGAGGGCGAGGACTGCAGGGCGCTAGGAGACAGGCTTCCCGTTTACTCGAGGACCAGAGCAACCACTTAAACCTCTGAATGAGCCCCTAGCTGCTGAAAAGCCGCCGGGCATTCAGCCCGAAGGCGTATTGTTATGCGGGCTCGCGCCTCTGGCTGCTTCCTCCTCCCACCCGGCTGGGAGCACGTCCGGCCCCGCCCCGTCCCCGCCGGGTCTGAGCCCCCAGTGCAGGGTGGGGCCCTCAGTCAAGACTTGGAAAATGCTCCTGGGGCGATTTCGATAAAGTCCTTTTAAAGTTGCACGAACCCTGGCCTCCGCCCAGGTGGAAAAGCTCAGATCCGCCACGCCTGCTGCCCCGGACCCGCCCAGTCCACGCACCTCTATGGACAGGAGGGGACCCCCTTTCCCGGGAACCTCCTCCCTGGACGCTGCTCGGCCCAAGGCCGCGGGCTCTTCCCTGGACGGCCCGCGGGGGGCGGCGGGAGACCTCTCACACCTCCCCCACCGGTTCCGGCTGAACCCGGCCCCCGCCGGTTCCCCGGGCCCTCCCCGTGGCGCCCGGCCTCCTCCCAGCTCGCAGGGGCTCGCCCACGGTGGCCGGTCTGCGCTGGTGGGAAGCCTTGGTAAGCAGGGTCTGGAGACCTGGAGAAGGCTAGTATGCGATGAGGGCCCCGAGCCCTCTTCTGACGGGAGAGGGGCCTCCTAGGCTTGGTGGGGCCGGGCAGAATCCCAACTGGGCCCCTCCCCGGGGTCCCGAGGCCATTTCAACCTCCCGGTTATCTCCCGCCCGACGCTCCTACCCAGTGCGCAACCTGCACACACAGGCTTGAGTCAGAAAAAGCAATCTTTTTTTTTATTGAACACACCTAGGTTCGGGGGAGGGGGCGGGGAGGGCAGCAGGCAGGGTCAGGGCTGAGGGGGCGGCCCTCCGGCGCGGGGAGCACCGAGGGGCAGGCCTCACGGGCGCGGGTCGGCTAGGACGCCTCGCTCGGCCGCGGCGCTACCCAGGATGAAGCCCACGGCCAGGGACACGGTCTGGTCGAAGGAGCCGCGCAGCTGCTCCACGTGCTGGTTCAGGGTCAGCAGCTGCTCACGCAGCGGGCCCAGGATGGACACGATGTCGCCGAGGTGCCCCAGGGTCTGCAGGAGGGCGGCGTTCAGCGACGGCGGCGGCGCGGGCTGCTGGGGCGCGTGGTCCTCCGGGCGGCCGGGCGGCGAGTCGGGGTCTTCCCGGGCGGGGCCCGGGGACGGCGGTGGCGGGGAGCCAGGGGCACGGAAGGACTCGGACTCTTCGCGGTGGCCAGGCGCCGGCGTGAAGGTGCAGAGGGCCGTCGGGGAGCTTGGGGCGTGGGGCGCGTCCGCAGACTTGGGCGGGGACGGACTGAACCTGAGCGTCCACGCGGGATCCGAGTCGAGCTCTCGGGACGCGGGCAGCGGCGGGGCGCCTGGAACGCGGAGCTGCGGTTTGCCGGGGGCGCGCCCGCCCCCCACCCCCCGGCCGCTCCCCCCGCGCCTCCATCTGGGGCGCGCTCCCCACAGCTCACTCCGCTCGCTCTCCCCGCTCCTCTGTCTGCGGCGCGCCCTCCCCCACCCCAGCCCACCTACCCGGCTCGGCGGGCGCGGCGGAGGCCGGCCGGCGGCCGCGCGGGGGTCGTCCGGGCCCGGGGGAGCGGCGGCGTCCGCGCCTGCGCCCGTTGTCGCCCAGGAGGCCCATAAGCTGGCGAATCTGCGCGTCGAAGGGCCCGGGCGGCTGGCCGTGCGCGTCGCGGACCTTGTCTTTGAGGAACTTGTAGCGGCGGCGGCACTGCGCAGGGGTGCGCCGCACCTGCTGGCGGGCCAGCGCGGCCGACACGCGGCGGTAGGTGGGCAGCGCCTGGCGGCGGTCCAGCAAGAGCGCGCGCCACACGGCGGGCTGCAGCAGCGTGCCCAGCAGCAGCTCCGTCTCGCGCGCACTCCAGGGCGTGCGCTGGGCCGAGCCCGGGGACACGGGCGAGCCGGGGGACGCGGGCGAGGCGGGGGGCGCGGGCGCCGCCAGCGCGCCGGGCGAGGCAGGCCTTCGGGGCGGGGTCTCCGGGGCGCCCCCCGCCAGCCGCGGCTCGGGGTCCGGGCTGGCGGGCGATGGCGGTTCGGGCGGGGGCGGCCGCCGCGGGCGCAGCAGCATCCCAGGGCCGGCGGGGTCGGGGCCGAGGCCCGGGAGAAGCCGCCCGTTCGCGCTCGGAAGGCCCTGCGCGCCCGCCCTGCTTGAAGCCGGCGCGGAAGCCCCGCCGGGTCTACACGGCCCTCCCCCTGCCCCGCCCCGCCCCGCCCCGCGCGCCAAGTTCAACCCGACAGCGGCAACGCCTGGTCTCCGGGCCAGTCTTCGGGCTCCTGGGTCTCGTGGAGTAAGGCTCTGCCCCCGCCCGCCTACCGCGAAAGCGCCCGCCCAGCCGCCTTGTCTGTACTTATTAAACCGCTGGATCAAGTCCAAAGAAAAAGGCAACGTGTGTCGGCCGCGCAAGGTTCCATTCGTGTTTACGCATGTGCCGTGCCCTTTCACCGCTGCGTAGAGGAAGCCCTGGAACATTCTGGTTCCAAAGGCTCCTTTTTCCTTTGGTGCACCCTGCTGCTGCTAAGTCACTTCAGTCGTATCCAACTCAGTGCGACCCCATATAGGGCAGCCCACGAGGCTTCCCCATCCCTGGGGTTCTCCAGGCAAGAACACGAGTGGGTTGCCATTTCCTTCTGCAGTGCATGAAAGTGAAAAGTGAAAGTGAAGTCGCTCAGTTGTGTCCGACTCTCAGCGACCCCATGAACTGCAGCCCAAGAGGCTCCTCCGTCCATGGGATTTTCCAGGCAAGAGGACTGGAGTGGGTTGCCGTTGCCTTCTCCTTGGTGCACCCTAGGTATTCCTAAATGCAGTCGTGTTCTGGTTCTACCAGACCCCCGAACACCGCTGAGGTTTTAGTTTGCGGAGGCGGTAGTGTTCACCGCTGTCTGCTGGACCTGATGGAGAGCTAGGCCATTGGTAAAACTTGGTGTCGTAATTTACATACATTGCACATAAAGGGACTTTCTTATTCTGATAAAGAATGGCCACCGCCAACATTGTTTACTAGAGTGTTAAGCCTTACTCCCTGAGATACTAAGGGTAAGAGAAGGGTGCCCAAAGTTACAGCTTCTGCTCAGCCTTCTAGTAGTCCTAGCCAGAGAATAAACCAACAAAAAGGTGTGGGAAGTATATAGCCAGGGAAGAAGTGAAACAGTTCTCCTTGCACATGATATGGTGGTACACGTGGAAAGTGCAAAATCTACAGGCACAGTCAGAAGTAATGAGCTTTGCAAGGTCATTGAATACAAAAATGAACAAAAATCAATTGTATTTAGTGTATACTAACTACGGAGAAGCAATGGCACCCCACTCCAGTACTCTTGCCTGGAAAATCCCATGGATGGAGGAGCCTGGCGGGCTGCAGTCCATCGGGTCACTAAGAGTGGGACACAACTGAGTGACTTCACTTTCACTTTTCACTTTCATGCACTGGAGAAGGAAATGGCAACCCACTCCAGTGTTCTTGCCTGGAGAATCCCAGGGACGTGGGAGCCTGGTGGGCTGCCGTCTGTAGGGTCACACAGAGTTGGACATGACTCAAGTGAGTTAGCAGCAGCAGCAGCATGCTAACTACTGTAGTTTAATAAAACTCCTCGTTGTTGTTCAGTTGCTAAGTCGTGTGCCACTCTTTGAGACCCCATGCACTGCAACACACCAGGCCTCCCTGTCCTTCACTATCTGCAGAAGCTTGCTCAAACTCCCATCCATTGAGTCCGCGATGCCTCCAGCCATCTCATCTTCCGTCGTCCCCTTCTCCTCCTGCCTTCAGTCTTTCCCAGCATCAGGGTCTTTTCCAATGAGTCAGCTCTTCAGATCAGGTGGCCAAAGTATTGCAGCTTCACCTTCAGCATTAGTCCTTCCAGTGAATATTTAGGGTTGATTTTCTTTTGAATTGACTGGTTTGATCTCTTTGCCATCCATGGGACTCTCGAGGTTTCTCCAATACCACAGTTTGAAAGCATCAGTTGTTAAGACACGCAGCCTTCTATATGGTCAAACTCTCACATCCATACCTGATTACTGGAAAATCAATAGCTTTGACTAGACAGACCTTTGTGGGCAAAGTGATGTCTCTGCTTTTTAATATGCTGTCTAGGTTTGTCAAAACTCTTCTCCCAAGGAACAAGCATTTTTAATTTCATGGCTGCAGTCACCATCTGCAGGGATTTTTATAGCCCAAGAAATTAAAATCTGCAACTGTTTCCACTTTTTCCCCATCTATTAACCATGAAGTGATGGGACTGGATGCCGTGATCTTAGTTTTTTTAAATATTGAGTTTTAAACCATCTTTTTCACTCTCCTCTTTTACCCTCAAGAGGCTCTAGTTCCTCTTCGCTTTCTGCCGTTAGACTGGTGTCATCTGCATGTCCAACGGTGATATTTCTCCCAGCAATCTTGATTCCAGCTTGTGATTCATCCAGCTTGGCATTTGCCATGATGTGCTCTACACAGAAGTGCAATAAGCTGGGTGACAGCATACAGCCTTGACGCACTTCTTTCCCAATCTGGAACCAGTCTATTGTCCTATGTCTGGTTCTAACTGTTGCTTCTTGACCTGCATACAGGTTTCTCAGCAGGCAGAGCAGTCTAGTATTCCCATCTCTTTAGGAATTTTCCAGCTCTTTCTTGACTCCATCTTCGCAGTAACGGCAATGGTGTCTATGATCTAGTCGCCAACATGCAGCTTTTTGCCTGCATCCAGGAGCTACACAGTTGAGGTGACCAACCAGGAGACTGTTGCCCAGATCACCGCTCAGGTAGCTTCATTGGAGGGCTTCCCTCCAGAAAATCAAGTTCTGCTCCTGGCAGGTACACCCCCAGAGGATGAGACTACCCTGGGCCAGTGTAAGGTGGAGGCCCTGAGCACTCCAGAGGTAGTCGGCTGCATGCTTGGAGGTAAAGCCCATGGTTCCCTGGCCCGTGCTAGGAAAGCAAGAGGTCAGACTCCCAAGGTGGCCAAACAGGAGAAAAAGAAGGAGACAGGCCGGATCGAGAGGCACATGCAGTACAACCAGCGCTTTGCCAATGTTGTGCCCGCATTGGGGAAGAAGAAGGTCCCGATGCCAACTCTTCAGTCCTCTGTAATCTTGGCTTTCTCTAATAAAACCGCTTAGCCCAATCCAAAAAAAAAAAAAAAAAAAGAATTTCCCACAGTTTGTTGTGATCCACACAGTCAAAGGCTTTTGGGTAGTCAATGAGGCAGAAGTAGATATTTTTCAGAAATTCTCTTGCTTTTTCTTTAATCTCTTGGATGTTGGCTTTTTGATCTCTGGTTTCCCTGCCTTTTCTAAATCCAGCTTGTACATCTGGAAGTTCTCAGTTCATGTACTGTTGAAGCCTGCCTTGAAGGATTTTGAGCATTGCCTTGCTAGCGTGTGAGATGAGTGCAACTGTACATTAGTTTGAGCATTCTTTGGCATTGCCCTTCTTTGGGATTGGAATGAAAAGTGACCCTTTCCCGTCCTGTGGCCCTACTGAGTTTTCCAAATTTGCTGGCATATTGAGTGCAGCACTTTCACAGCATTGTCTTTTAGGATTTGAAATAGTTCAGCTCGAATTCCATCACCTTCATTAGGTTTGTTTGTAGTGACGCTTCCTAGGGCCCACTTGACTTCCGCACTCCAAGATGCCTGGCTCTAGATGAGTGATCACACCATCGCGGTTATTAAGACCTTTCTTGTACAGTTTTTTGGTGTATTCTTGCCATCTCTTCTTAGTATCTTCTGCTTCTGTTAGGTCCTTGCTATTTCTGTCCTTTATTGTGCCCGTCTTTGCATGAAATGTTCCCTTGGTATCTCTAATTTTCTTGAAGAGATCTCTAGTCTTTCCCATTGTATTGCTTTCCTCTGTTTCTTTGCATTCTTCACTTAAGAAGGCTTTCTTGTCTCTCCTTGATATTCTCTGGCACTCTGCATTCAGTTGGATATATCTTTCCCTTCTTTGCCTTTCACTTCTCTTTTCTCAGCTGTTTGTAAAGCCTCCTCAGACAACCACTTTGCCTTCTTGTATTTCTTTTTCTTAGGAGTGGTTTTGGTCACCACCTTCTGTACAGTGTTATGAATCTCTCTGTAGTTCTTCAGGCACTTTGTCTGCACCAGATCTAATCCCTTGAATCTACTTGTAACCTCCACTGTATAGTCATAAGGGATTTGATTTAGGTCACAGCTAAATGGTCTAGTGGTTTCCCCTACTTTTCTTCAATTTAAACCTGAATTTCGCAGTAAACAGCTCCTGATCTGAGCCACAGTCAACTCCAAAACTTGTTTTTGCTGAGCTTCTCCATCTTCAGCTGCAAAGAATATAATCAGTCTGATTTCAGGGCTGACCATCTGGAGATGTCCATGTATAGCATCGTCTCTTGTGTTGTTGAAAGAGGGTGTTTGCTGTGACCATGTTCTCTTGGCAAAACTCTGTTGCCCTGCTTCATTTTGTACTCCAAGGCCAAACTTGCCTGTTACTGCAGATACCTCTTGACTTACTACTTTTGCATTCTAATCCCGTATGGTGGAAAGGACATCTTTGTTTGGGGTTAGTTCTAGAAGGTCTTCTTAGAACTGTTCGACTTCGGCTTCCTCTGCATTAGCGGTTGGGGCATAGACTCGGATTACTGTGATCTTGAATGGTTTGCCTTGGAAACACACCGAGGTCGTTCTGTCGTTTTTGAGACTGCACCCGAGCACTGCATTTTGGACTCTTAACTGACTCTGAGGGCTCCTCCAGTTCTTCTAAGGGATTCTTCTCCCAGTGAATGTAATGGTCATCTGAATTAAATTCTCCCTTTCGTGTCCGTTTTGATTCTTAAAACTCCTTGGTGTGGGATAATTCTAAGTCTGCACCTGGGTTATACAGACAGCAAAGAGTGCCTGACGTCTTTCTCGGCCGTGGAGCTTTGGCAAAGCCGAGAAGTCGACGGTTGCACAATCCTCCTGGCGAACCCGCAGGGCCGCAGGCTCTCTGCTCACACCGCTCGTCCGCTCCAGCTCCAGCGTCTAGTCATCCTGTGCCCTCGGCCTGCCCCCGGCCCTGGTCCCCTCTGGATCTTTTTCCCCATGTACTTGACACTTTGAGGAGA